GCCATATGCAAACGCGACAAACTTTTTTGTCACAGCGCGAGCAGCACGTCCAGCTGCGCAATGATGCTTCTGCAACTCATGAGACTGTATTTGCCGTCCTCTTGGCGTTTCGCCCACGAAGTACCTGCCTGAAACACCTGAGCGCCTTCAGCGTCTGGACATATTTGGAGCAGCACGTTGGTCATCTGCTGAAGGTTCTCATTCATTCTCGGCTTTCTGGCCTTGTCCTGGTTCTTCAGTTCGGATGCAGTTTTCATTTCGCCAAACCGGCATTGGGCTGCGATGTACTCGAGCTCGTCACCACTCACTCGCTTCACGGGAATTAACAGGTCGTGGTGAGCACTCTTTTTCAGAAGATTGGACTTTATGGCCTTTCCAACAGGATCCAAGACAGTCGCTTCAAACTTTGAGAGCTCTACCCCATCGCTCCAGCAAACGTGGAAGGGTTCCAGCACTTTCTGTAGATGCTCATCCTTTGTGGGATAGATCTCCAGGAAAGGAACCCACGTGCTGTCGGCTTCAAAGTTACCTTGCAGGCAATAAAGGCGAAATCTGGCCACTAGGGAGTTTGCAACCATCTGTTCCCACGGCACTCCTCTGGCAAGGGCACCTCGGACCGGACTCTTAACCAACTCCAAGGGATCTGGCAACAGACTCTTCAGATCGATGTTCCAGCCTTCAAGGTGACTTTCCAGCTTGGCGGAGACAGTGGCATCCCGACACCACCAGATGCGTGGGACCAGTACCGTGTGCTCAGCGGGAAATGCTGCTCCTGCATGGAAGATGTCGGACCAAGGAGTGGTTGTTCCAGGCACTGTCTGGTCGCTACAAGTTGCATTCCATCGAACGGCTGAACAGAGAACGATTGCCAAAGCGGTCTCAATGTCTTCACTAAACAAAGGTGTCGCAGACTTGTACGACTCCTGGAAACACTTCGACATCTCATTCAATGCAATTTCGGCGCTTGCCTTTGCCAACTCCCCGTCTGCCTGGAACGCAA